TGGTACTTTGAATACCTATTTATGCAATGACATCACGCTTAATGTTATGAGGGATCTGAATCCGCTGTGAGTAGTAGTACACTAGCGCTACGCTTGCGAATTGAACTAAATTAACCGCAACACTTTGACAGATGAAGTATGAGATGACGTTTAATGTGGCATTCCCTGTAATTTCCCTGTCACTTCGACGCTCACTTCACACTCTATATTTATATATTTTATAGAATCGACGGGCTGAACGCAATACTATAGGGCCCTGATCCTGATCATCATTGTTGATCATAGCAACATCATAATCTTACACGTGAACGGAATTTTAAACGCTTTTTTTATTTACTCTTCTAAATGTCAAAGTTCATGCTAAGCTATCTCCAGACTACACGAAGTTACCTATTTTGAATCACAATCAGTAAGTTCAAACGACCGTCAGATAAATATACAAAAATATAAATTCGTAGAGGTAAAGTTTATCATTGACGCCGATAAAGAAGAACCGATTATATAACTAAGCATTACTATGTAAAAATATATGCTAACTAACTATTCCCGCGCGGTTTCACCCACTGCTCTGCTCAATTTGATGCGTAGCGTGATGTTTTATAGCCTATAGTACTCAGGAACATTGTAGCTATCTATCAGTGAAAGAATTTTGGCAATCCGACCAGCGGTTTCAAAGATAAGGCCCTATAAACAAACTTAGAAACATACAAACTTACAAATTTTGCCTCTTTATGATGTTAGTATAGACTAGCGATCCGGCGAACTTCATACTGCCTCAAAGTTTAATATTGTTTACATAATTTAGTTTACTTGTAGGTACTTTCATCATTGGCCACATCACTACTTTTTACCGGTGTTTTAAATTAGCCGTAGCCAAGCTTCGCATGAAACAACCACAGCATTGTGTTTTGCCGTGTGAGTGAGGTTACCGGAGGCTCAATACCTCCTCCTCCCAAATCCCAAATTAAATATCCCAAATCCCCTTTTTTTGTCAGGGTAAAATCATCAAATTACTTCTCCCGCCCAGGGTTGGGCGAGAGAGAGTGTCAGACTCTTACTGACTAAAAACCCCCACGTTCCTTCTCCTGCTGGGCTGAGGCCACCCTCATAAGGTCGGTAACGCATAGTGAGGTTAAAGATTGCTCAGTGCTCCACCCTAGCCTAGACCCTAGTTACCTATCACCAAATTCCCAAAAGGCTGACAGCGTATTTCTTACTCCACTGGTGTTGCTGGCACCAATTGCGTACCATCAGGTCTACTCGTTTGCCGCCCTATCTGATTCTGACACAAAAAACTACATGATTGAGTTTTTTGAAAGGGAAAAATCGTCGAATGACTTACCCGCCACTGATGTAAATCTCCCCAAACGACAGAAAAAATCTTTACTATAGTTAATGAATTTAATTTAGCTAAACACGATCCATTTGATTTAGACAACAAAGAATTGTATGGATCTCCCTCCTCTACACGGCAACCGAAATACTTACGGCAATCTTTTAAACATATTTGTTTCCAAAAATGAAGAACTTATGTTATTTATGTCAATTGTTTGTACAAAAATAAAACTATTTCTTTTTTCGTTTCCAGGTCCAAGCATGAAGCTGATTCTTTTCTTCACGGTATCTCTCCTCGCGGGGTTAGCGTACTCCGCTCCAGTCTCTAGTGAAGAGGACGAAAATGTGGTGATCACCGAGGAGTTCTTCCCAAATGAACTCGCTGTACACACCTTTGATTACGACCCTGTTAAAATCCTAACTCCATTAAACGCATTAAACTTCGATGATGATGAAGATGATGAAAACAGTGATTCCGATGCTACTATAACCTTCGTTGTGCTAGGTGATAAAGACGAGCAAGGAAACAAAGTTTACAAAGGTCTCTATTTACTCTCAAATGGAGAAGCAAAAAATATTCTAGAAAACGGTAGAGATGCAGCTGCTGCTAATGATGACACCAAGTTTGCTTACTTCGCAGCCTCAGACGGCATCTACGTTTACAATGCTGAAACTAAGACAGCTAACAAATACGGTTCATTATCCGACGACTTGATCGGAATCGCTAAAGTTAACGGCAGTGATGTTATCTACGTATTGTCAGCTGACCACGTTCTCTACAAGGTCACAGAGGACGGTACAAAGAAAGAAAAGATTGATCAAGTTGTAGATGCTCAACAGATCATCTTGGATTACCAGAACAACCTGTATTACTACACTAGCGACAAGTCCATCTACGTTTATGTTAATGGCGAAGTCAAGAAGATTGAAGGTCTTCCCGAAAACCCATCTTACGTGGAAATCCTGAACCCAGCTTTCGTTTTTGAGAATGGAGTGCCAGCTGTTATTGACAACAAATCCTACCTTATTTACGAGAATGGTACTAGCGAAGTAGGTGACTTCGAATTCCAGGTTAGGCCAACTGCCTACTCTATGGAGGCTACTCTCATCCAATACTACGCTTACAACAAGAAAGTCTACGAATACAACGTTTTGAGTATCATCCTCGGCGACATGTTGAGTGAATTGAAAAAATTCTTGGATGACAAGACTGATGATATTCAATCCATTGCGACCAGGTCAAGGAGCGATTTGCGCGCCTAATTTGTTTAGAAAAACATTCTCAGTAGCCATCTTGAACTAATGTCAAGCGTCAAGAGAAGGACGTTGATGGTGTGACAGAATATCAAAATTTAAATGATGTAAAATATAATACTATGGATAAGATTTATTGTTTTATTAACAACGGTTGTGTTAAACTTTATTTCACGGTCAATTCAGCTAAGTGGTGTTTGCAGAATGGAACACATTTTAAAGGAAAGATCGAAAAATGAGGATCCTATGAGCAAGCGCAGGGATGCCTGATGATGATGCATACCTGGCCGAATATTGCCCGGATCTTCTACCCGCGTTAAATGGCGATGGCGCAAACTTCACTTCAACGATGTAGAATTTGAGATATCGTCTGTTGATTATTGTTGTCGATCTTCTATGTTTTGTCTACCCCTGCTCTTCATGCGGGTGTCAGGTTAAAGAGAGAGATAGCCTTTTAAATTATCTAGATTACACTTGCCTATCATTACAACTAGCATTGGGATCTGGCACACAATGTTTTGTAAAGGAGGTCTTATTGTATTATGTCTCTTTAACATAACTGCAGATCAACTTATCTGGGCCATATCGTAATATAGTAAGAGGATTGCTTTGAAAATCACACTGATAGGTACCACTTATCAAATAATATTATGTTATAACATTCTCAATGTATAACCCAAAGGTTGGCTAGCTATGATGCTTGTAGACATTACTTAAAGTTAAATAATTTAAACGATGTTGTTTATCGAACCCTATACATATGTACCAACTACAACCATGTTATAGTGGATTGAAATTTGAAATATTATAAAACCATACTAAAATACGAAAGTTAATCTGTCTGTAACATCAAAAACACTGAACACTCAGGAAGGACATATGCTACTTTTTTATGAAAAAAATGCGGACTAAGTCGTGGACAAAAGCTAGTAAATAAATATGATTTTTAACCAGCCTTAGAAACAACACTTAGGTTGATTTTCGGCCTCTGAATTAGGTTACCGGAGGCCCAGTCAAATCCTTTATCCTTAAATCCCTAATAACACCACAAAAACTCGGCAAGGCACTTGTAGTAACTCCTTTGGTATCACGGATGTCCATGGGCGGCGCTGATTGCTTCATCATCATCAGCCTATAAGTGCTCACTGCTGAGCAAAGGACCTCTTCTCACATGGAGAAGGTTTGAGCATTAATCGCCACGCTTGCTCACTGCGGGTTGGCGATTTCAAACTTATAATTAGGAATTATAAGTCCAGGTTTCCTCACGATGTTTACCTTCACCGTATGTCAGTGGTGTCTAAATAATTTTTATAATTATATATACAATCTAATATCGTCGACTTATTTTAAGGTAAAATCTAATTTTAATCAGGATAGGGTCAGGTCGCCTAAAAAAAAAACAAAATACAACATAAATATATTTCACGTATATTCTATTTATTATGTTCAAAAATTATTCTTAAATTACTTATAAAAATAATATTTTATAAATTTGCAATTATAAAAATAAATTTTTGTAACCCTTTTTACTCAATATTATTTCTATTGCTATAATTATTATTATGCTTAGGTCATTATTATATAAAAATACAGTATTGAGTATTAATACAGTGTTCAAAATTTATATAAAATTTATGGACAAATTTGCATTATTCGATGAGAATAATACTGATCCTAAAACTGAAACGGCTAAGATTTAATAAACAAATATTAGACGCATATATTTTTCCTACTTAGTTACTTCAGAGATCAGGCATTAGGGCTCGCTAATAAACCTGAACCTACTCCGATAGCCAACCTAACAGCTAGGCAAGGACATTTAGTTGAAACCTCTTTGTAAAAGAGGCACACAGTCCAGCTTCTAAATGGTCACATGCCATGGATATTCATGATGATGATGACGATGATGAGGTCATTTCAATTGTATTATTATTTATGTATACGACATTGAGGAAGTACAGCGAAAGTTTAAGCGGCATGGATCTTTTTTCATACAAACTTCTAAGTAGAAAATCATGGAGACCACGGCACCGCAACCAGCGGTACAATTTATTTTAAGTCTGGCTCTCTCTCTCCTTCCCTATTTCTCTGTCTCTTGAAAATATTTGTACCAAATTTCATCAAAACTGGTTCAATGTTTTCGATAATTTTTAACTTCAAAGTTTGTAAAGGACATACACTTGTAACAAACTTTACCAAATTACGTTATGTTTTATGATCCTTATTGACCTATGCGCAATTTATGGATCTACAAAATAAAATTAGACATCTTCCCGATAGGAAAGGCTATGAAAAACAACATAAAGAACATTAACTTTGCTACAAAGAAATGTCAAAGTATTGTCAGCACTAACTCTATATAAACAGTCAATTAGTAGTCACTCATAAAACTAATCAAGCACATAAGCTTATCAATCTTTAGGGAATCCAAATATACTATCTTTCGCCGTTTCTATGATGGACATGATAATTTTAGTCACATCCTTTGGCCATTCCGTCGTGACACCAAACATTGATCTAATTAATACTTCCATAACATTAAATTCATATATCTTTCCATTCACCGCTGCAACCAGATATAAGGCCGCATCCACACTAAACGCTGACGGCTTCTCTTTTATTAACAAATCCTTTTTCTCATAAGTACCATTTGAATATAAGATGTACAAGTTTCCATCGCCAAAGAACGGAATACAATTCTCCATTATGAACGCAGGCCTTAGGAGTTTTATTTCCTTGAACTCTTCAATCACACTAGCCGTTAAACTTAGGACATTGCCGTCGTTTTTTACTATATGAGGCATCCTATCTCCACAGGACACGTAATAGATATTATTGGAAGTATCAAGGACGAATTCTAAAGCACAACCAATACTTTGCATCCTCGTTTTCACCGTCCCATTTTTTTCTATTTTATAGAGTTTACGTTCAACGTTGAGTATATAAATGGTATCACTTCCATTAGCTTTCTGTAATTGAATAATATCGTCTGTGAACGGACCGAACTTTTTAGCTGACAAAGTGTCTGGGTGATATTTGTAAAGACCATCTTTGGCACCGAAATAAATGTTTTTTTCGAAGCTATAATCTGCTGTGGAGTCTCTCCCTCCTTCCAGTATTTCGTAAGCTGCAAATCCTTCTAGAACGTAGATGCAGCTGCCTCCTTCAGATTTTGGATCTGCTACGGTAAAGAAGATTGAAGGGATGTCTGAAGATTCTGCTTGAAAGTATTTCTGACCATCAGCAGGGACTAGGAGTTTAGTGATATTGAAGTTTGATGAGAAAATTATCTGTTCATCTTTAAACATTGTCATCGTGGTCTTTGGAATGTTTCTAACAAACTTCGTTGTTGTACAAAGTGTTATAAAGATTGTCGTCAGATATATTGACTGCATGTTTGGTAAGTCTGTAAAGAGAAAAATTAAACATATATTACTCATATTTATAAAAGCAAACCATCGTACTCTGAACGGTTATTCAACCCAGTACTTAGGAGTAGTTTTCGGGGCTAAATCGTTAAATTATTGATGAAATACCAGTGAGTGTCGCAGAAAGTTTAAGTTTTAAATTGGTATCCTATTATAGATAATCAAGACAGTACCCAATTTGCATGAATATTTTTGAGGAGCTTTCCATCAAATGACTTTTCAATGACTTCCATCGAATGACAACTGATTAAAAACCACCTCGTTTTTTTTCCTGCTTCCTTTCTTTTTTTTGCTTTTGCCAAGCTACTCCGGCTCAACAATGACCCTGAAGGGATCTGTGGTGAGCTAATGGCTCTTAGCCAATGCTGAACGACAGCGTTCGCTTGGGAAATCCCCCTGGCGTTCAATGTTCTATTGTGTCTCTAATTGATATGATTCATAGGTTAATTCCGAAATTCTCATTAAGTAGTATAAAGATAGATTACGTAATCTTACGATTACCACCAAATACCATTATTACATACCGTGATTACCATAACCCTCAACATTGAACAAAAAACTACAAACCAAACTTTGACATTGGCCGGAATTCCAGAAATATTAAAAGTTCCAGATCTACTCTGGTATTCAAAGACCTTAACCGACCCTGGCATACATGTAAACGCACCCGTTCTGCCTCGCGAGTTACGAGTTACGAGTTATACAATATGTGCACGCAATTGTCTGGCGACGCGTGAAAGAAATTGTGTGTGTGTACATTGTTCGAGATTGTACGTCAGCCGATGTTGTTTGTAATAATACACCGCATCCCCAGTCCAAAGCAGAATGAAGAACGAGGTGGTATTTAGTCAGTAAGACTCTGACACTACCTCTCCCCCCACTGCCACAAGTGTGAAAGCCTCGGCACGAATGGATCGGCTCGACCGGAGTGATACCACGGCCTCACACAAAACCGGCGTAAAACACAACTACAGCGTTGTGTTTTGCCATGTGATTGAGGTTACTGGAGGTCCAATTCTAGGCCGTACGTTACGTAAAAAAAAGGAATTGGTCAATGTTTGAAGTATGTTATACAATGTAAACACGCACGACACTTCCTTCCGTAACTAGATATATAGCAGTAAACACAAGAATAATAAACATTTACTAAAACACAACAAACAAACTAACAAGCGAAAATATAATTACAAAGTACCATTATTTATTACCTACCTAATATAAAAATAAATTACAAATTTCGAGCAATTATTATTTATTAAACATAAAGTTTATTATTTCTATTTATAAATTATAAAAGTGAAAACGTGATTTTAGTTACATTTTTATAAAAGTGAAAGTGAGTTTTTATTATTATTTTTAAGTGAAAATTCAGTATAAAAAAGGTATTAAACATTTTATTTTGTATTTCTGTAAAAATACCTTATTTTTACCTTCTACATACTGAGTAGCTAATGCGACAAATCATTTACTTGTTACAGGTTCGATTTTCAGATCGAACAAGGTTTTTAAAATTCTTTGGTATTGCTATTTTGATTAAATTAAAGTTACAAAAATGGTGCTCCTCAAAATATACATAATTTGTAATATCTTTTTGTCATTCCCATGCACATAATAGGGTTTTTTGTAAGGAGAAAGTTATCAAATGACTTTTCTCTTCGAGTAAGGGAGTGTAAGACTCTTACTGGCTAAAACCATCCGTTCCTAATCCTGCATCAGATCGAGGCTGCAGTACCTTATTGCCCCGCAACCGTCCGTGGTCATGGTCTATTGATTGGAGTGACTGCACACTCGGGTCTGGTTAATACCTGCATCCCAGCGCTAGTAGCTAAGATAACTGGCGTGGATGTAAGGCTTACAATGTCTGTCTGCACAACTGCTTGCCCTTTAGATAATACTAGCTACTCTCGTGCGATTTCCCCCGCTGCTCGGCTCCATTAGATCGTAGCGTGATTTTTTATAGCCTATAGCACTCAGGAACATTGTAGCTATCTATTAGTGAAAGAATTTTGGCAATCCGACCCGCGGTCCCAAAGATTACTCCCTACATACAAACTTACAAATTTTACCTCTTTATAATATTAGTATAGAAAAATAACGTTACATACGTACTATGTAGGTACGTATGTTATTATTTTTAATGGAGAATTCTGAGAAATATTAAATTGTGTCCAATAAGTATGTAAATAAAGAGATAAAGTTACATAATGTCAGAACGTATCATATTTATTTGCACATGCTGCCAGAAAAGATGGCGAATAATATTTTTTGTAATTATTTTATCATCTTCACCAATTAGGTGTTGATTCATCAGCCCATTTACTGCCCACTGCTGAGAAAAGACTTCTTCTTGCATAACCTATGCATGAGCATATTAATCACCACGATCCCCAAGGTGAACTGGCGATTTCAAACGTATGATTTGTAAGTCAATAAGGCAATGTTTCCTTACGATGTATGTATATACCCCTATACCTCTACCGTATATGTCAGTGGCGTGTCTTGTCCAGTACCCTGGAAGTATAAGGATAAATTCCCCAACGGAACAAATTTGTGTGATCTACTGATTAATGTTCCGGATCTTAGTGTGAGGTAGGTATATTAACTTGGGCGATTATAAAGGCAACTATGACACAAGAAGAAAATAACTAGTTAAAAGTATTATCTTTATAATCACCGACGATAACAAAATCGGTGATTAATGTTCTTGATTTGTCTGTCAACTAATTTTGCACGTATGTGTACATTTTATGTAGAATATCAACACATTATCGCCGTAATACGGAAGCTTCAGACCACATTTTAATTATTTTCAACTATTCACACACATAATTCCCACTGTCCCATATTGATAGAAGTACATTCAACCCACTGTAACACAACTAGCTTTTGATATAAACATAATATACTATATATATTTAAATTATATCTATGTTTAAAACAAACAAACAGTTGAGTACGTGAGTTCTTAGAAGTCAGTTGTGAATTAAATATTTTGTATAAATTATTTTTATTTTGGTGAGTGATCTTTATTTTAGCTTAATAGTAGTAATAATAAAAAATAGTCTTTTTTTAGTTTCACGATAAGGCTGAAGTGTTTTTTATTCTTTATAACATTTTAATTATTAATTGTTATGATAATATCATATGTTATCCGTTATATTGTATTAGGTGGCAAGGTCTGTTGTATAAAGTCTAGTCATAATAACCTAGGATAGATCTAGAATCTAGACCATAATATTTAGAGTTCTTTCATTAAGTACATCATGAATTATGAAACAATAGATATTTTCATTATATATTTCTTTCGTCTTAGAGCGATAAATGAGCTGACGGATTACCTGATGGTAAGCATCGATGGAACCCCTTAATACCTTGGTAGGCTTGACGTTTCGACCTGATTGCACAGGTCGTGGTCACAAGCAGTAATACCCCCGTAACTATATATTGTAAACATGAAACGCGAAAGTTTAAAAATTAGGAACTAGAAAAAATGACAACTCTGTAGTCAACAACAGAGTTTTTTTAGAGTTTAGACTCCTTATCGTTATCATCAGCCACAATTGTTACTTTTTAACCAAAGTTATAACGGCAACGCTCTTGTGACTCCTCTGGTGTTGCGGGTCTCCTTTACCGGAACACGGTAACCTCAAGCACACGGCGAAATACAACTCTGTGGGTGTTTCATACCGGGCTTCTGTAATGTGGTATCACTCTGGACGAACCGACAAAATACAAAACTGTTGAAATAAGTTCTTTTTTTTGTGTGTGATGGGGTGGCAAACGAGCGAACGGATTACCTGATGGAAAGTAATCAGTGCCGCCCAGTGATACCCGCAACAACGTAGGAGTTACGAGTGCGTTGCTGACCTTTTGGGGATTAGAGATTTGGAGATTAAGGGATAGGGGAAGGATTAGGCCTCCGGTAACCTCACCCACATGGCGAAATATAACGCTGTGGTTGTATCACGCTGGTTTTCTGTGAGGCCGTGGTACCACTCTGGTCGATCCGACAAAATACATTTAACTTCCTAGTTTTTGGGAGAATGGGCTCTTTAAAAACAATGCTGCAGTGTGATTCTGTAAGACTTCATTCTAAACTTCGAATCTGAATCCGCTGTGAGTAGTACTACACTAGCGCTACACTTGCGAGTTGAACTGAATTGACAGCAACATTTTGATAGATAAAGTATGAGATGACGTTAAAAGTGGCATTCTAAAATTTAATTTCCCTGTCACTTCGACGCTCACTTCGCACCCGAACACGATTCAAAATCAAACAAATTTTATAGAATCTGAATGCTAATACAAATGCTGAATACATGTGAACGAAGCAGCGTCCAGGGTGTAGTGTTAATATTTATCTCATTGTATTTAAGTCTGTAAACATCAGCATCTGACCCTGTCCATATGAGCCCAGATAACTATAGAGATTACTCACACTTATTAAAGGTTAGTTTTAACTACGTTCCAAATGCGTGTTATCTAGAAATTTCTTTATCTTCTTCAATAGAGTTTTTTTTAAGTGGACTTGGATAGTTTTGCTTTTTCTTCTCCTTAAGAATCTACGTTTTGGGGTGTCTTAGATTCACTGACGGAGCGATGATTAATTATAACGGTTTTGAACATGATTATGATTATTTTCATAAATTATGGGTACCTTATTTTGTCAGGAGAAATTCATCAAATGACTCCCGCCCAGGGTAAAGCGAGAGAGAGTGTCGGACTCTTACTGACTAAAAACGCTCCCTTTCCTTCTCCTGCTCTGAGCCGAGGCCGCAGTGACTCATTGCGCTTAACCCGCAACCCCGGCTGAAATTATGGGTAGCTAACAGGGGGGTGTAGATGCGGGTGCAAGCTTTATAAGGTACCGCAAGCTCCACCCGGAGTTGGAGAAGGAACGGGGATAGTTTTTAATCAGTAAGACTTCTTGCCTTACCAAGGGCGAAAGTAGTCATTTGATGATTTTCCCTTCTCAAAAAAGGGGATGTAACATGAAATTGTATCCTACATAGAAATTTTATAAGTAATCAAAAATGAGACAAATCTTTTTTTTTTATTACCGTACAAATAAATAATTTGGGATGATAAAGAAATAATTGAATAGAAATCACTAAACGAATGTAGACCAGAGTGAGGTTATCAAAAACCCAAGCATTCCCCTCTATTCTCAAATCATTAAACCTCAAAAGACCTTTTCCTCTTTCTCTGGTGTTACGGATGGCACAGACGGCACAACCGGTGGCAATAGCTTACCATCAGGCAACTGGTCTGCTCGTTTGACGACGTAATTATAGATAAATAAATGTCGTTTAAAAATATAAACAAACCTGAAACTCACGACCGAAATTCCTTATAAACAATAAACAAGTTTTGCAACCAATCCGCTAACGAATCATATTTCATCACAAACACATGCTGATTTATTGAATCATTGGAAACTATAACTTATTTTTTTCTCATTACAGATCAAAATGCTGCTTCTACTATTCCTGACAATAATTGGGACAGTTTACACTGAAAACTGTTCATATATATACAATGGAATGCCATACGATAGAACAGCAGTTCTAACAATAAAAGGATTACCAACCAACTTGGTGATTAATCCAGTTAACGATGATCTTCACTTCACACTAATTGATTTAGATAGTCTACAGAATGATAAGGTTCAAACTAAAATGGATCAGTACGTATTTAGTAAAGGACAGCCAATCAAAATTGATAATGTAAATGGGCAAGCAGCTGCAGTAGATATGAAGAACAAAAAGACTTATATAGCAAGTGACGATGGACTTTATTATTTAGATGAAAGTAATAAAGCTCAATTTTTAAGTCTCAAAGATGATGACATAGTTCAACTCTTCAAACCACCAAGCGATGATAAACTGTACGCAGTTTTCTTCCCAGAAAATGAACTATTCGTAATTGATGTTAAAAAGAATGAGAAAAAGAAAGTTGATAATGTGCCTTGCGCATTTATTCTAGCAGTTGATGCTCAAGAGAATATTTATTACGAATGTGATTCTAAATATGTTAAGGTTATTCTAAAAGGTTTCCAAGAACCTATTGAGTTTGTTGGAATAGCTAAAAATTCTGCTAGGGCAATCGCAGTGGATTCTTACAACAGAGTCGTATTGGCTACTAACGATGGTCTTTATTGGATCAGACCTGACAATATTATCCCTAACAAATTCATGGACCTAGACTTTGTGCCTTCTGGTTTGGCGTTTGATTACGAAGATATCTACGTGGCTGCCAGTGGAGTTATCTACAAGTACAGCGCTAATGGTTGTAAATGATTAATTAACGGTTTCGTCTAAATAAATGTTGTTGAATTTTTATGATGCTTTATTTTCCATACCTGTAATAGTTTCTGATACTAGAACATATCGTTCTGTTATTAATTACAGAGCATTGGAAGTTGGATAATAGAAGCCATGGGTTCAATCCCATTTTTCAAATTTCCTATCAATGCGATATCAAGTAAGTTAGAAGTATCTATTGTGTAGATTACATTACATACAACAGAGTGGCTACAAAATAAAAAATGTCACGTACCTTTGTTTTAGATAATGTTTGATACCTTCCAGTTCCGTCAAAGGGCTTACAACTAATGCCTAAGTTGCAAGACTATAGAAGGTTTATTTTTTGAATTGAATGATGTGATCCTTTTTTGATGATACACAAATTACATCATTATTAGATATAATGACTTATTAACGTACACAGGGTGTTTGGATTTGAATGTCAAATTATAAAGAATAAATTAATGTATCAACTGAATTCTGCTAGGTTAGTGATGACTCCTACAGACTTTAGAGGGAACAGGTTTATGGCTTCCATTAAAATTATACTAAATAGAAATCGGAATAATACTCTCAGCAGGACAGGATTTTTAATCGTCTTAAATGGAACATCAGCGCTGGTATAAAGAATGAGAATTGCTGATTTGTAAACTCCAGAAACATAATCTAAATCAAAAATAGAAATTAAAATAATTATTGATTTGTTTAAAGAAGAGAGCAAAAGAGTAGACGCAGCACCTGATGGTAAGCTACAATCGTCGCCGATGTCAATACGTGTCACACCAGTTAAAAGTGTTTTGTGTGTGTGGTCTTTTAGAGATTTCAGGATTGGGGATGACGGAGATAAGGCCTTCGGTAACTTCATCCATACAATGGAAGATAACGAATACGTTGTTTCACGCTATTTATAAAATAACCATATCTAGATAGAATAGTAAAAGCACCCTATACTTCTTGGTGTGAATATAAACACACTGCATGTTTACAAGCACATTGGATACGTGACACAATGGCAGATGTTTTATAAAGACTTCGGGCTTGATGATGCTAAATCCATTTCATAACAAACAGCCAGAGCTGGTGGACAAGCAGGTTCGTTCAGTTTCTATTTTATCTGCACTTTTGTATTCACTTTTGATAGTTAAATCATCAGCTGTAGCTTTAAAACTATTTTCATTAGATTCTCTGTCTTTTTCTTCGTCTGATTTAGTTGTGTTTGTGGTTTTAATTTTAATCTTTGGACATTCTTTCTCAGGTTTGTATCGAATTTCATATTGACGAATGTTATGTGTGCATAGTGTACAAATCTATCCTGTACGGTTCGACAACTTCTTTTCAATTTCATTTTGTCAATTTTCTTTTATTATTTGTATTTATTTCATAACGTACATGTCTTGTCTGTTTTAATTTTATATTCTTTATTTTCATTAGACCAAAGCAGCGTCAGTTTCATTCAGATAATTTATATCAATGAAATGAAGGAAAATCATATCCTTATTTTATAATATGTACGCTACTACTTCCCTAATGAAATATTCTATCCATTACGTAGCATATATTCGTAGAAGTATCTAAAAAACGCTCCAAAACTCTTTTTAAACTGTTAAATCGTTGACTAGTGTCTTAACTACGCTAATTACTTTTAATGACCTGATTACTTCTGAAAATTTCCTTTTTTTATTTCTTCTATCAGTTCTTATACTTATAATAAGTTCATCCTCCCTACCATCATTATCACTATCATCTGCCGGAAGACGTCCTCTTTCTTCTATCGATCGCTTCATTAGTTAGTAAAGAGTCATTGGATGTTAATGTTAATAAAAACTTTCAGAACTGTAACTGTTACATTGCACTTATAATATTTTTATTAATTTATTGAAATTAATTTTCTCACGTGAATAAATTGAGTAAAGCTCTACTAGTTTCAAGTCACAACAGGACTCATCTTCAACTACTCAAACTAGTACAGCTTTCATCAGTTGCTTCACGTGTGTAAGTCGTTATTGTCAATAAATTAAGTCATGTCTCATGATAGTTACTTTAATGTTACTAATCAAAAATATTTATAATACATGTATCATACAATGTACTCACATCCGATCTGAATTGATCTTCTCAGTAAATATTATGATTATGTACATTGTTTGCATCGATGTTGACACATTTTAAAATGTCATCTTCGTAAATCATAAACATTAATCATACAATCATGATTTGACAATTTATAATCTGTTCCATATCGTATGGTCCAAAATTATAGTTTTCAGTGTAATTGTTAAATGACTGTTCTTGATAATTTACTTGTTCCATTTCTGTAAGCATTTGCAGTAAGCTGGTCTATTTGAAGAGGATACTTTATTGATATTGCCTTTAACTCTATGATTTTATCTAAATTCTCATTAATTAATAGAAAAACAATGTTTTTTCTAATTTTTTCATACTTACCAAAAATTATTTCTTTATACCATACTTCAACGTTTTCGTTATTTCACAGATACTATAAACGGTTGTCATGAACCTGCGTTCACAATGAGGAGCCTGACGATTATCCTGTCCGTTTTTACCATTTTCATTGCTGGATATAACACAGAAAAATGCGAACGAATCAAAATCGGAAACGAATTCTACAAGCGACAACTAATTGCTACGATAGACGGCTACCCAACAGGAATGGTGATAGATCCAAGGACGGACCACATTTTCTTCATCCTTCATAAAAGAAATTACACCAAGGGAATACACCTTCTAAAACATGGATCCTTAGGTATCAAAGAACTCCCAGTTTCTGATGAATTACTTGGCCAATGTGTGGCTATAGATACTGCCAACAATGTGATCTATATTGGTACCAATCAAGGCCTAGTCACTTATGATTATTCAAGAACAGAAATTACTGCTGAAAGGCCGATTGGAGACGATGATGTGCGAAGCATTTTTATAGATAAGACGGATAACCAAATGTATATAGCAACAGGATCAAATCACGAAATTTTCCGTTTCATGAACGGCTCAGCTGCTGTGAAACGATATGACAAAATTCCAAAAGCCTACAGCTTCATTCTGGATAGCAAAGGCAATGCTTTCTACGAATATATTGATGGTAGATTGTATTTCTTCTCTGTAGATTTGTATGAACCAATTCAATATAAGGGTTTCACCAGAGAGCTAAAATACATTCTTCAATTAAATAACAATGATGAAGCTATTGTTGCTGTGAAAGGTTCTTTGTTCAGACTTTTTACTAAAAGCATTCTTCCTGTAAAAATAGGACAGTTAGGTTTTAAAATCACCGGTCTAGCTTTCGATCATAAGAATAATATAATTATAGGTACGAAAGGAAAGATTTATAGGTACAAACCTATTGATACAAATGATCCTTGTCCTGCTGATGATTACTTCATGTCGAGTATTTAAAATGTTTTTGATTTAGACAATTTTAGTTGCTCGAAAATGTAGTTTATTATTAGATTAGTGACCCTTTAGTTAGCACGTTATTGAAGGTCGAATCATTCGCCTGCCATCTTTTCTTTAGCAATAAGTTATTGTTTAAGTGTTTGCTTTATTTTACATATAGTTGTATGTATTTATTTGAGCAACTAAATTTGTTTTTCTTATGATTTTAATTGTCAAAGTTCCAAAATTTTATTGTTCATCAATATTTTTTAACGTTTTGATCATTTTCATTGTCACATCGTGCGTTTTCTTTTTTTTATCGTCATTCATCATTTTTTCTTCATCGATTCCATTAAAATCATTGATCACGTTGTTGCGTGCACATATCCACAGCTCATTATCAACTAACCATATTATCTAATACCCAGCATTATTAAAATCAACTGACTGACATTTCCTACACTTCCGAAGTTATAATTATTTTAGATCGAAGCGTTAGTTGGTTTATTTCATTTTTTACTTTCTACGCTCCGTTTACAAATTTTTTATGTAGGAATTCAAGTGGAAAAGCGTTTGTTATTGTCGACACATGATTGTTTACATTTTTGTTTTTAAAATTTTGCCTGTTGATCTGTTTTGATGTTATCATCTTTCAAAACAGTTTTTGTTTTGTTTTGATAACGGAATTATGCAGATTTTTATAAGAACTATTATTATAACTGAATCACTTAGATTATGTCATTTTATTGTCAAATTCGTGTTTTGTTTTTTTATGTCATGACTCATAAATAGTTGTAGTCCATTTGATTTCAATTAGAACAAAGCCATTAATCTAAAAATTGATACGATTGTAAGTGTCGTAGATAAAATATTGCTCTTCAGCTTCAATGATTTTCTTAAGTGGATAAAGTATAATAAAAAGCTGTTGAAAAAAGCAGTATAGCTGCCGTATTGAGAGACGTTTAATGCTTACTTAAAATATTATTAAGATTAAATTAATTAACAATTTTGGAACAAAAATTATAAGCGAGACATAATGTATTTCCTATTGTTGTCATCTCGTCCGTCTACGTGAAATGTTGTGACGACACATTTCATATTTGGAAAATCATTTTTGAATCTTTTTTTTTCGCTTTTTTTTGATTATTTTTCTTTTTCATCGCTTCGTCTCATAACGAATTTATTTCGTTTGAGATTTTTAGAATTACGACTCAGTTAAAAGGAGCAAAACTTACCACATATATTATATTGATTTTTATCTTAGTTTAAGATTAGTTATAGGTATTAACTAGTTATTGTTTTGTTTTTCACATCCCACTGCCACGATAGTTTTAGGTTTTTTTTGAATATTTTTCTTTGTTAAAGATCTTTATGCCACAATTATTGAAATATTTATTCATATTTAACTACATACATTGTTACACGAACGATTTATGATTGTTTTTTACTTCGAAATTGTTATTTTTATTAACTAAAAAGACTATCAAATAAATGCTTATTTTCTTACACTTTTTCATTTTGTAGTTTTTTTTTTCTTCAAATAAAAACAAAAAAAATATGTGACCAAAGAAAATTGGAGTCTTGACTTGACTCGGCTAATAATTATTCATCATCATCATCAGCCTATAATTGCCCACTGCTCAGCAAGGGCCTCTTCTCACAAGGAGATGGTTTGGGCAGTAATCGCCATGTTTGCTCAAGGCGGATTGGCGATTTCAAACTTCGAATTAGAAATTATATGTCCAGGTTTCTTTACAATATTTTTCCGTCGCCATATGTCAGTCGTGCCTTGCCAGGTTTTGAACACTCTCATGCATGAGAAGCGGGCTTGTTAATCACAACAGAAACAAAAACACTTTGTTTTATTATTAAATTCAATAATAATTATATATCCATGAAACTAACAACATGACACCGAAGTTGAGTGAACCCAAATATCAGTCACCAATCACCATCCATCATCATCATCATCATGAATATTAAACTTAAACAGTTGTTGTCCACTGCTGGGCTCCAATAACACGCCACAGACCTTGATCTTAAGCTATTCGCATTACAATCCATACTAATACGTTATCAATTAATTTATCTGTAAATCACAGTCTCAGCACCTCAACGCCATCTATTGACATGCAAACCAATCATACGATTGTGATTTAAATAATAGTTACTAGATGGCGCCACTGTGCCTTAACAATCCAATAGACGTGTTTTCTGAACAGAACTGTTATAAAACGTTTTATAATTATTTTAAACATAAAATGTAAGTGTAAATGTAACATAAATAATGTATAAATGAAATGCTTAATATTGAAAACGAACGTAACAGTAAAATAAAAAACACAAGCCAAACACAGATAGATTACCAAACCACATCTTTTGAAAAAGTTCAAATGAATTATAACGATAAAATAAAAGTAACGATAAATTAAAAATTAAGTTTTAAAACGATACAAACATGTCACAAAACTAAATAAATTAGCAAAAGGTTTGGGCTCGTCCGGGATTTGAACCCGGGACCTCTCGCACCCTAAGCGAAAATCATACCCCTAGACCAACGAGCCGCTGACAATGAAGTTGAAATTATCGATCAAGTACCACGTTTAAGACATTAACATATTTCATGACATCATTGAAGCTATTTATTAGCCAAACCCAGCCACGCGTTGCTGTGGCTTAAGTTCAAAATAATATTGTGACTATAAATTGAGATGTAAGCTATCCTATCTTTCAAGTTGGATCAAAATGCACACGGAATGCAAATCAAAAAATCGGTTTAGTAGTTTAGGAGTCCATCGCGGACAAACACGTGACACGATATTTTTATATAATAGGTCGTTACATATGAAATTGCCGTTCTGCAGTACTGGCCATTTCAAATCAAAATAGTTTTTGTTTGGCTAAGGCTAATTAATTTTGTTTTAAAAACATGGGATTCTTTTTCCAAAAGTAGTCATTTGTTTATTGATTAGTGTTACATTTTCATCGCATTTCAAAACAAAAAATTCGTTTAAATTGTTTCATGCAAAACGGCAATTTCAAAGGTAAAGACCTATTATAAAGATGATTCGTTCCACGTCACGTCAGACAGCCACTCTTTAGTAAGATTTAATAAAAGAACGCAAGATTTAAAAACAAAAATGTCATCGAACGTAGTTCAGCCAGGCTTCGCACGGGTGCAGTGCTTTTAATTAATTTCTCTACAACTTAATATTCATGTTTACAGATAGGTATAAACCTTCCTCTTCCATAAATCCATTGCTTAGTTGTATAGATTTAAGCATACAAAGGGATACACGGACAGAAAAAGCGACTTTGTTTTAAACTATGTACCTAAGTAGTTACGAAGGCCCGAGTTCACCGCATACCTACATAACGAAAGGTTAAAAAATATTATTCATCTAGTTACGTTAAAATTAATGCTCACCATTCTCCAAACGTTGTTTAAGTGCGTAAACCAGCCGATTAATTTGTCAATATGTTGCCCGTAACAATGTTGGACAGGCCTGGAACCGAGATAAATATCACTAAGGATATTCTGAAGTCAACATCGTTCCTGATAGTCCTCAGGATCAATCGCTTACAAGCTTCTAGTAGTTGGTTAAATCTTGGGTACCATTTCAACAGATAATCCAAAGAGGTTTAAATAACCTTCACTTTTTACAAGCAGGGTTTAAAGAAGTTAAGGTCAACGTTTTCCTTGTCCCGCCGCTAAATCTGGGGTGGCGCTAGCATCGACAGTTTGGTGTACCCAAATAACTGTACTTATATGTATAATTATGTATAATCTATGCCATCATCTCCTGACCACGCTCCTGACTCAAAGCTTTTTCAATTAAAAGTGCAAGATCTCTTGTTCAATATTCACAGAATTATCAAAAATGTTCATTGTATCATTACCTAATAATAAGAGGTATGTATATTGATTTTGTAACAGAACGCTAACCGAATCGAACATAAAAAACCATATTAATTTAAACTCGTTCTATCCATTAAACAGCCGATTCCAAAAGCATTTAAGCGATTCTTGGTGAACTTTGGCCTAAAATTAGTTCATTTTTTTATATGATAGGTCCGATACGAGCCCAGGGATGGATACATAATGGTAAACCACCAGCGAAGGCCATTGACACCCGTAACACCAGAGGAGTAACGACTGCGTTGCTGGCTTTCCGGGTAAAAGGGGATTTCGGGGATTTAAGGATACTAGAGTGATTAGGGTACGGCAAGAGTTGGTCCCCGGTTAACGTCACTCATTTCTACCGGAGGGAATCCCTACCGGAGTGATAGAGCCGACCCATTCATGCCAAAGCATGGCTCATTTAACCCTTTTCTTGGCAAAAAAAAAAGTTATTCCGTTTTTTTTTTTAATATGATTTTAATTATTTACCTGCCTTGAAATGAGGGAAAAATATTAAAAAAAAAAGTCTATACTTAGATATTACCAACCTTTTTCGGTAACGAATGGGTCGGCTCGAACGGAGTGATACCACGGCCTGACAGAAAACCGGCATGAAACAACCACAGCGTTGTGTTTCGCCGTGTGAGTGGGGTTACCGGAGGCCCAATCCTTCCCCTCCCCCAATCCCTCCTCAATCCCTAAATCTCCAAATCCCTAATCCCTAAAAGGTCGGCAACGCACTCGTAACTCCTCCGTTGCGAGTGTCCATGGGCGGCGCCGTTTGCTTACCATCAGGTAATCCGTCTGCTCGTTTGCCGACCTATAAAAAACATTGACTCAGATATTTAAAGCTTAATTTTGTAAAAATAAAATTCTATCTTATATTCTAAATTATAAAATAAATAAAAAAACTTTGCAAGTAACTTTGACCTTACGTCTTTGTATCTTTGAGGATACATTGCCAGGTTTGATGAAATAAAATACACAAGTTTTCTTAACAATATAGGTAATGTATATGTATACTGTACTAAAATGCTTTTTAAATTACTTTTTTTCGTTTCGAAAATGGTAAGTATTATTACAAAATGAATCATTCTTTTCATTTATTCAAGGATATTAACAAAAGCAAAAAACAACTTTTGAATTTATTAAACCACTTAACTGAAGCTTCCAATTATCCAGTTAAAGTTAAATTAAAAATAATGTTTCATTCAGAATCAGAATCAGAATCAGAATGTTTATTTGTGAAACATAGGTATTTACATTTAGATCTTAGGTCATATAATATAGGTGCGCTATGTTTTGCCGTGAAGGCGTACAAATATTAAAATAAAATTAAAAAACTTTAAAAATTAAAAACTACATACATATGGGAAAAAAACAACAAAATTAAACTCTTACATGTTAAAAGGACCTATTTGTTTTAAACTATTAAAATGTATAATCAAAACTAACACAATAAAGAAACAGTCTTAAAAAATCTCTAAGCAGTCTTAAAAATCTTACTCATAGGTTTCTAACTAATAAATTAATATTATAAACTATCATTTAAAAAATCTTCTACAGTATAATAACACTTTTCCATTAACAGTAGGTAGAGTATCTTCTTAAATTTAACTAAGGGTAATTGTTTTATGTTGTCAGGTATTTTATTATAGATTTTCGGAGCCATGCCAAAAAAACCCTTTTTACTTAAAGCGGTTTTGCATTTTAAGTTGCACAGTTTATTTGCATATTGAGAACGCATTGGAGTTTTTTTAACATCAGCGAGTTTTTGAAATAGATGCAGATTGATTTTGACAAACAAGGCAGTTTCGTAAATGTACATAGCAGGAAAAGTCAATAATTTTAAAGATTTAAAGTATGGTTCACAAGTTTCGGTAGTTTTTAAGCCACACATGGACCGAATACATAGTTTTTGCGCTTTAAAAACCGATTCTCTTTCAGAAGATTGCCCCCAAAAAATAATACCGAACCTCAGAACAGATGCAACCAATCCGTGATATGCTAATAAAAGTGTTTGAGTATTAACTTTTTTTGATAGCTGAAACAGGGCATATGCAGACTTGTTTAATTTCAAGCAAATTTCTTCAATATGGGGTTTCCACGTCAGCCTACTATCGATAATTATACCTAAAAATTTTGCCTTTTCCGTATCTTCTATTTGGCATTTGTCATACATGATATGAACTGGAGGTTTTTCACATCTTTGACGGAAGTGCATTACTTTTGTTTTGTTTAAATTAATGACTAGGTTATTATTTATAAGCCACTTAATTATTCTGTCGAGGCAATCATTTATATCATTCTCGTAATAGTCAGGGTTATTACATTTGACAATGGCTGTACTATCGTCAGCAAAAAGTACCATATTTTGAGTTATAAATTTTGGAAGATCGTTTATATATATTAAGAAGAGTAGCGGCCCTAGCACGCTACCTTGTGGTACCCCGTATTTTATAGTTCTTTGTTGAGATGTATGAATGGTTACTAAATTACTTTTTTGGCATAACTGTGAGATTTCAGTGCACTGTGACCTGTTTTCTAGATAGGACTCCAAAAGTTTTAGAATATTTCCTCGAATTCCATATCCATACAATTTTTCAAGTAAAATCTTATGGTCCACATAGTCAAACGCTTTAGTCATATCAGTGTACAAAGCACAAACTGGAGATCTTTCATCGACAGATGTCATGATATGAGATAGGAGGTCGAACAATGCCATATTAATATTTGTATCTTTTCGAAATCCTTTTTGTTCGTTACAAAATAACTTATTCTTTTCAAAATAACTATATATAGAATTATAGATTACTTTTTCAATAATTTTTGAAAAAATTGGAATTTTGGCAATGGGTCTATAGTTTTTAACATCTGATTTATCATCTCTTTTGAATAAGGGTTTAATAATTACTTTTTTTAAATTATCGGGGTAGACACCATTTGTTATACATAAATTAGTAATGTGAGCTAGTGGTTGTGCTATAACTTCTTTGACGCATTTCACAACTTTTGTACATACTCCATCATAGCCAACTGTATTAGTATTTTTAAGGTTATTAATAATTTTTATTATATCAATCGGTAAAACTGGTTGCATATATAATGATTTTGTTGTTAAATTGTTAAAAGTATTATTTTTATTCAAATTAAGGTTACTGTTTATATTTTTTTCAATAACATCTACAAAGAAGTTATTGAATTCATTTGCTATAGCCGTGGGATGTGTAATAATTGAATCGCCTTTTGATATCGATGGTATTAGATGTTGTGGAAGACGATATTTGGATTTGTTAATTATTTGCCAAGCAGCTTTTGATTTATTTTGCGAATTGTTTATGAAATGGTTGTTTTGAGTTGTTTGAGTTAGTCGTATAATCTTTTTGTAAATCTTTGTATAATTTTTAAAATCTTGTTTATTTTTATTGTTAGGTTTAAATCGATATGACCAAAGTAATTTTCTTTGTTTTTGACTACATATTTTAATTCCGCGGGAAATCCATTTAGATTTAGTGTTTGTTTTTATCGTTACATATTTTATTGGAAAGCATAGTTTATACAACATCAGAAAATCATCTGTAAAGCAGTCATACGCATCATTTACATCATTTGAATTATAAACTCTTGTGAAAGAAAAATTGCTCAAATAATGATTAAATTTCGTTAAATTTTCTGGAGATGTATCTTGCTTCTGAGTTTTCCAATATTTAAGTTTACATGATTTACTAATAGGCACACTTAGTATTTGCGATGTATGATCTGATAGAATTAGATCTATTATTTGTGCTTTACAGTCTTTTCTAAAGGTATGTGCAAAGTTATCTATGCAGGATTTACTGCTTAATCTAGTAGGTTTATGAAGGGCTAAGTAAAGATTGAATTGAGCAAGAAAATTTTCAAATTCTATAGTGATTTTATTTCTTTTTAAGATGTCAATATTAAAGTCACCTGCTACAATTACTTTTTTATTAGTGAGTGAACAATATTTTCTTAATATATCCTCCAACTTTTCATAAAAAATGTTGTAATTGTGTTTGGGTATTCGATAAATACAGATAATAATAATATTATGGTGTGTTAGTTCTATAGCACATGATTCAAAAATACCTGATACGGACTGTTTTGCCACGTCTGATATTTCTCTAAATTGAAGTCCGGCTCTAACAAGAATACATGTACCCCCGCGCTTAGCGTTTCTAGAAAAGAAAGCCGCTTGTAAAAAATTTGGTAAATGCAACAAATCTTCATAACCTGTCTCTATAAAATGTTCCGTGATACAAATCACATCAATGTTAGTTCCTGCATTGTGGAGTTCTTCTAATTTGACTGTCAAGATATCTGTTTTATTCATCAGTCCCGCTATATTTTGATGTAGAATATTTATGTATTTACAGAAAAAACTGCGAATTATTATGGTAATCTACACATGCTATATCTTTTCGCGTTTTTTGGGAACAATCAACTTCGGAGCTCACAGTAGACTTGGTTTTCATAGTGGTACAGTATGATAACAATTCTATTAAATCTAAAATAATGATTAGTAAACCTCTTTTATTAAGTGTCCCGTCATGTGGGCTGTATGTATTATAAGTGTAGGGTAAATTAAGGTTAGAATCTAGGATAAATGCATAATTATTTGTTTGTGCATCCATAAAGAGTAGATTATTGAAAATCTCAACTCTACTGTTGTATAAAATATTAGCATTACTCATGTATTTAAATGTTGGTAAACATATTATAAAATTCGTGTGAACGAGGGGTAATATTTTTTTACGAATAAGTGCAACAAGTTCTATGTAATTTTGCGTTCTTTTAAAATTTTCTTCACCTATATAGATAATACAGAAATCTAATTTTGTAAAATTCTGAACTTTATCCTCTATATTGTCTAATATAATTTCTAAATTACAATTCGGCTTACGATAGTGACAGATTTCATAACTATCTGATAACTTGGTACCATCCATTACATTATAAATTCTACTACTATTTTCACTACTTATGATGCATATTTTATGCTTTATATGTGATTGTTTTATGTGTGGTTTGATAACATTGCTCGAAATTTTACTAATACGAGCATCAGTAGCACGAGTTACATCTTTGGTTTCCGACCTGTCATTTTCAGTTAAAGAGGTATTCCCAGGAATCATTTGTGTTTGTTCCTCTTGTTTTGACTGGGTCTTCTTGGGTATTGTTAACTTCTGTTTGACTGGAGAGCTTGTAGTTTGTTTATATAAACTATTTTCCTTAGATAAATCTTCATTTCTTTGCTTCAAACTACTATTTTCCAAAGATAATATCTCAATTTCCT